GTTCTCATGTTCATCTCCCCTCCTCGATCTTCATTTATTGCACTCACATAGCTGTTGATTTACACATGAAGTAATTCGTGTTCTTAGCCCTTTGCATTTAAATTCGAATTTTAAGCTGATGTTTTATTAATACAACTGATCCCCCCACTCACTTTGACGCAAAATCTTCTTTATAGCAGCCGCAGAGCAGTCTGTTCACCCTTTTTTGAAATCTCAACTCCGAGAAGACCACCCAAATGAATTCCTTAAATGATTCATGCACAAACCCCCCCCCCCCCCTCTCACACTCTTTTGCTCTGTTCCCAATGTTGCGATCTGTTCCCACGCCCGAGCCCCAGCTCGTTCGTCAACCTTGCCAGCTGCTCCAGAAAGTGCAAGGCACCTAAAAAACAAATCAATATAAATGTATACAAAAAAAAAAAAACAAGTCAATGCACGCATTTTGTGGATCGGTCGTTTGCCGGTCATTAATTTGAATTAAATTAATAAAACGCTACTGCGATTGCATAACCAATGCCGATGCCGATGCCGATGCCGAAGTCAAGAGACCGAACGGAACTGAACTGTGCTGAACCGAACCGCGTTCACGTTTACGGTTTGCTCACATTTTTGCCGATTCAATGAACCAGCAGCAGCAGCAGCAGCCGAATGGGCGGCAGTGCACGCCCACTTTACAAGGTGCCGCATTTAAATTCGCGTGACCTCAGCTGCGTTTTTTGAACCCCATGAAAAAGTACAAGCAACATTTTTGTCAAAATTTTAATTTCATTGCACGATACGTTGAACTTGCGTCTGTTTCGGAAAAAAACAAAAACAAAAACAACAAAACAAAACCTGTACGAACATTTCCGCATTGGCGCTGCGAGAGAGCGAGAACCGTTTGCATGCTCGCGCTCTCCCGCTTGCACTCGCTGGCAACACGCGCTAAACTTTTATTTATTGATTTAGATTGGTGCGAGCGAGAGAGCGCGCAAGATACGAAACAAAATTTCAATGTCAAATTTTAATTTAGTAGAGTTTTTGACTCAGAACATTACCAATATGGCAAGCACACCTCTCTCTCTCGCTCTGCCTCTCCCATTCAAACACACGCACGTGTGTGTGTGTGTGTGTGCGTCTATTTTGCTTGTGTGTGTGCGTGTGTGTGTATTTCATATCAAGCGAGTCAGCCGAAAATTTTCGTCGAGCTGTCGGAATTAATTTGTTTGTATGCCATATGCATACACATGTACATAACATTAGCAAGCATACATACACACACACGCACACAGGCACATATTCTGTGCGTGTGTGAGCTATTGGGGCTGCTATTTGTTTGTTTGTTGTTCTTTTGGCGTATTTGCTAGCTGATAGTGCCGCCTGCCCAGCAGCAACTGCGCACCCCTCGTCGCCCGCTGCACTCCATGTCTGACTATTCGTGTGAAGTGAATGAAACTTTCAAGGTCGCCATTTGTGTGCCTGTGTGCGTCTGTGGTGCGTATTAGATAATACTAACATATACTTTTGTTTTTGCTCGACTATAGATTCTCGAGTATTGGCTGGCAAAAAAAAAACTGCTACCCATTGTCCTTGGCCAGAGCGTATTCTAGGCGATAATCCAAAACTTTTCGATTTGTATCTTTCCTTTAGCAGAGCCCACGAACCGGTTAATCAGCTTATAGCCAAGCTCTACTCTAAGAAAAAATTCGGTAAATTCGCTAAATATATATAAATACGTATTGCTAATCTAAAATGTTTATTTAAAGAACAACTTTTATTAACTTTTATAACTTGAAATAATAGTTGTGTATAAACTGGAACTCTAGAATTTCGAACCAGGAAGCATTCGATTTTGACCATAGCTAAATTTTCCTTCATTTAGTTATTCAGACAACGGTACATAAAAACTCGTCTTTCAGCTGTTTACAGTTACCTTTTGTTATTATTTATATACGTTTGTGTGTGTGTGTGTGTACATGCGCCAATTTGTGCCTTATCAGTTCAGCTTAAACAAAAACAAATGTTTTTATTAGAAAAATTCCAAATTTTAAATATAAATTTTGACATTCAATAAATTAGTTTGCGTATGAGATATAAATAGATAAATATGTGGCAAGCAGTGCTCGTCATTTTAATACCCTGTAAGTTCTGCAAAGAGCCACAAGAATACCCTACATTTGCCAAAGCTTCCCACATAATTCCAATGCATATTCTGCATAGTATTTCTGCACATTTACATTTTATACACATTTGATTAGCCTGCAAATAGGGTATTTAGCAGTCGTTAGCTTTCATTTATACGAGTTACTTTTGTGGCACATATTTAAAAATACATAAGTGAATGTGGGCGCAGAAAGAATTGCGCCTCTGCCTGGCCCCTGGCCCCTGCCCCCTTGGCTGCCTGCGTATACCCTGTAGACATACATATGTATATTTATGATTATCTGAAAGGGAATTCTGTGCGGCAGCTGACGTCATCTGAGAATGCCAAAAAAAAAGCCACTGGCTTATATATTTTTGGAAAACTTGCTTTGTAATTGATTCACAAGCGATTCTATAAACAAAGCAGCCGCAGCGACAAGGTCGATACTCGCCGTCCCCCCACACCTACCCGACGCCCCTCCTTCCGCATTGCTAATCGGCGACACGTGTAATGGGCTGATAAATGCTTTGTGCGGTAATAGTGCAATATTAATAAAACAGTTTAAAAACAAAACGGAAAGGTGCTAAGGAAGCGGGCCAGCAAGGTCTGATAGAGCCGCCAAAAGAGTGAGAGAGAGACGGAGGGAGAGAGGAAGGGAGAGAGAGGCAGCCAAATACTTGACAATTATTGGCGAAATTCACTTATCAAAATACACAGGCAGATACTCGAGAGCTTAAAGCGCAGACAATGCGTCATCTTGATTTTGTAACATCGGGAATAATCAATTTATTTTTATTACAAGCGTTTGATCGTTTCGGAAGATCGAGGCTATACACAGATAAATATATATCAAGCAGATTATCAACTATAAATCGTAGCCGTAATTGGAATCTTTTATTTAACGGAAGATATGTAGATGAAATTTGAATAAATATATGTGCATACAAACAATTATTGATGTTGGGAACAAATATGCATCTTATTAATTTCGATAGAATATTTATATATTTTATTCTATTTTTTGTATTTGTTTTTCATATTTTCTATAGCTTGATAAGTTACTTAAACTGTTTTCACCAATATACATACATTCCCATACTTAACCACAACATTCTGCTTAGAGGTTTACTGTTTTTTTCTTGTAACGATCGATAAAGATTTCACACGCACTCACACACACACACGCATGTGTATATGTACAAGCAAGATCTTGTTGTTGCAGCAAAAGTGCAACGATCTGCTGTGCAAAATGTCAGTGAACTTGTCGAGACGACAACAACAAGCACAGCCAACAATACAACGACAACTACAACAACAACCACAACAGCAACCACAAAAACAACAACTACTACAACAAAAACAAGCAACTGCAAAGACTGCAGACGCAAAGCGTGTCTGGCACAGAGACACAACAAGAAAACAGAAATATGTATGCATGTATACATGTGTATGTGTGTCTGCAGCGTCTCGGCTGCGACGTCTTCGGCGAGCATGATCATGATCATGAACACGATAATGACGATCAGATAATGATGGCCATGGCAGCGCGTAGAGATCATGAGCATGCAAGCATTTTGCAATTGTTTTTGTTTTTGGTACGAATGCACGTTCCGATTGTTTACAATGCGCGGAATGCCTGCTGCGCTCCCCCTTTTGCTATCTTGCTATCTCTCTCTCTCTCTCTCTCTCTCTCTGTCTCCCTCACTCACATTTTGTCTTATGTGGCTAGCGTGCGCGCCGCTTGCTTATCAATTTTATATACATAATTGAATTATTTGCTGACATGTAATACACAAGAGAGAGAGAGAGAGAGTGGGAGAGGGAGCGAAAATTGAGATATGGGGTGCGAGTAAAAGACTTTCTTGCGTGAAAACACGTTTACCGATTGCCAAAGAAAGTCTTTCTCCGCTCAACAGAGTCGTTTGACGAGTCTCTCTCTCTCTCCACATTTACCTCTCTCGCTTGTTCGCTCAAGATTCTTGTTCTGCTTTGTTTACTTTCTTCTTGCTTGGCTTGCCTGGCTTTCTTTGACGCCGTCATGCGGTGAAAGTTACGTAACACTTGCCTGCCTGCAATTGTCTCTACCTCAGGCCGCAACTCGCTGCCGCTGCCGCTCTCGCGCTGCGCTTGGCCAGAACAAGCTCAAGTTCAACAAGTTGCCCATTTTGTTTTGCTGCTTTCTTCGCGTTTTCGTTGCCTTTACATTGACATTGGCATTGGCCACGATCAGCGGGTCTGCGTGTCTGTAAAGAAAGTATTACGTCTGTGTTTACTTTCTTCGGCATTGGCCTTTTTTGTTGTTGCTGTTGCCGAGAGTAAAAGCTGCGAGTGGTTAGCCTTAATTTATCACCTACCAAGAATATTTACGACTATCTTGAATTTTAAATAAATCTTGAATGCATTTAGTTGTATTAATTATCGTTTATCGATAAATATATTAAAACGATAGTTTTTTATAATTCTTTTTAGCCTGTTTTCACTTGTATCGATTCTTAAACTTTGCATTTGTCACTTATCAAGAATGTTTCTGTTTGTATGTTATATAATGTTATATAATTAAACAATAATCGTTTAAATTTTAAACGAATCTTAAGCTCTGCTTTAGTCTGTCAGTTATCAATAATGTTTCTGTGTATCTTGAATTATAAATTAGTTCTAAAATGCACTTTCTTCTTGTTCTATCGCTTATCGAGGAATCTTATGTGCCGATAATTGTTTCGTATTGTTCTCAACTTAAATTGGCTTTGTATAGAATTTCTAGCACTCTTTATAAGCGATATAATTAACAATTTTACATATACATATGTAAATCGATTTCGTATTTTAACTAGAATCTGTATACTAATCGATTTTGGATTTTCCTTCTTCTTTCTTGCAGAATTCGACGGCACCACCGTGCTCTGTCGCGTGTGCGGCGATAAGGCCTCCGGTTTCCATTACGGCGTGCATTCCTGCGAGGGCTGCAAGGTAAGTTCTAATCCCGTTCTATCTAAAAAGTGTGGCAGTGGCAATGGAAGCGAGGGGGTGTGGCGCGGCCACGTGTACTCAGTCTGGCTTCTGACGGCTGCAGCCACCACCAAGCTGCCAGATGATGAAATTGGGCTGACATTGAACTCATTTGACCTACGCAGGCAGGGGTAAGCAATGCATCCAGGGGTTGTTACGGCGGCAACAGGCGCAGGCAGAGGCAGAGGCAGAGGCTGGCAATTGGCAATTGGCAATTGCGTGGCAGACACGAAACCTGCGCCTTACCCGCCCCGCCCGCCTTCCCCCCAGCAACTCCTTGCATAAATTGCGTCGCAGTTAAATAAATCAAAAGTATCCTGAATCCACCACCAACAAAAACAACAAGAAGCAGGGGCAACACCAGAGCGGGCTGGCCGTAGCCCTTTGTCTGTGACATTGAAAATCTGCGGCAAGTTCATTCGCCTGCCACAGCGCGTATCTCGCCGTAGTCCAGGCTGAAGTCCAATGCCAATGATCGTGCCCGCCAGCTCGTGGCGTGCCTACACCCACCCTGCCCTCCCCTCGTCTCCCCTCCCTTCCGCTTCCCTCATCTTCTCGCTCTCTGCGCGCCGCATAACCTTGGCAAAGTAGTTTGCCCTATTCCCTTATATTCGCAGCGTTGCCGCCAAAGTCGGGAATAATGTCTCAATGACGTCCTTGAATTAGGTTAACAGCCAGTTTCCAGTTCGCCCTCTCTCTCTCTCCCTCTCTCTTTCGCTCTCTCCCTCTCTCTCGGTCTGCGCCGCGATCCTTTGTCGTTGTTGTATTTATTTTTATTTGTATAGCATCGGTTTCTTTCTTGCGGGCTCCCGAGACGTCTGCACGTCTGAAATTTCAAACTTTCCAAGACTTTTTAGCCCGCTTCTTTTTTGCAAATTTTCTGCTTCTTTCCCTTGCTTTTTTTTTATTTGTATTTTGTGTATTTCGGTTGGGTTTTTGGCAAGTTCATTGACTTGGCTCTTGACCAAGCGTCCACTCTTTGGCTTTGGGTTTCTCGGAACTTTTTTGGTGCGGATTGGTAGGTTTTTGTGTATGTGTGTGTGTGTGTGTGTTTTATGCATAATGATATTAAGTAGCTCGCCAGCGCGTCTCTTTTATCAATGTGCCAGTCACACAAATGCGCTAATTTAAATACATACATATCTACACAGTGTATATGTGCATGTATGTGTGTGTGTGTGCTGTGCTGGGCAGGTAGGCCTATTAACAAGCTGCTCGTACGCGCTTTTTTTTATTTATCGTTTTTTGAAGTTCAAGGTTAAGCAAAAGGCACAGGGTCCCAGCAGCAGCAGCTCTCAGTCTGACTCGAAAACCTGTCCTGCCTTCGGCTGCCCTTCTTTGGACACGCACTTTTGCGCGTGTAAGACAGTCACAGTCACAGTCTCTCTCTCTCTGTCTCTCTCGCTCTCCCTCTCTCTTTGGTCTAGAAGTAGGAAGCAAGTTTTAGAGGTTCTTTGCCATTTTTGAATTGCTCATACGACGCGTTGACGCCGTCATCTTTTTGTTTTTTGCTGTTCGTCATTTTGGCTGATACTTCCGCCCAGGCCAGGCCAGGCCAGACCCGACTGTGCTTTGCCTCAGCACCTGGCCACAGTCAGCCTTCGGTTTGTCTATTGACCTCTATTCTCTTTTTTAATAAATACACACATACATTTGGATTTCTTGCTACTCTCAAATGTTTTCTGCGCCCACACTCTCTGTAAGCCAAGCCCAGTCATCGCGATCAGTCAGAAGTTTACTGCATTTCTTAACCAACACTGATTTTTAGTGCTCACAACATTACTTATGGCAGTTCTTTACGGACTTTCTTATCCAACAATCATTAATTATGACAGCTTCAAAAAAGTGGTTTGAACTGTTATACATATGTACATATTATTAAACGAATTATAATCAATAATTAATTAGGAATTATATTACTCAGCAAATTAGATTCAAAACTGGAATGAAACGTTCTATTTTTGAAGCATTTCGCACTATATCTAGCATTCGTATTAGGCCTATTGCTACACCCCTTTTAAGCCTGTTATTTGTCCATTTTGCGCATCCCGTTCCGTCGTTCCGTCGTTCCGTCGTTCCGTAGGCACCCGGCTTGCCCATTACCATATTCGCTGGTCTCTTGGCAACACGATGCTCGACACTTTTCAGCCTCTGCCTAATGACCCAATTTGTGTCGAGTTCGAGTTGTGGGAATGCTTTTGGCTTTGGTTCCAGTCGAGTCTGCGATAATTCCTTCAAATTTGAGCATAAAAACAAAACGTAGAAAAAAGCAAACAGAGGCAGAAAATAAATTAAAGGCAACGTATGTATGTGTATATATGCACATAAATAGGTAAACATGTGTGTTTGTATGTGTGCACGTATTTGTTGACGTTAGCGTTTTTGAGCGTGATTTCTGTTCTGGTTTGCCCCTCTCTGCGCCTTTTATTTGCCCACTGTGAATGGTTTGCTTTCTTTGCTCCACTCGGCTACTCTTCGGCGGTTATACAACATGTTTTTGTTCTTGCACATTATTTAGCATATTTATTTATTGTAAATTTGTTATTATTCTTTTCCTTTCCACACTGACACACACACATAAACTTTGTTGTTGCGCTTTTTGCTGTGTCTCTTTTTAGTTTCGCTGCCCGGGCGCTTGTTGTTGTTTTTTATGCTTCGTGTAGTTTTCGTGTGCAGTTGTGTTGATTGGGTGAGTGAGCGAGTGAGTAAGTGTGTGCTAATGCGTGTGCGGGCAGTGTGAGTGTGTGTGTCTGTGTAAATGTGAATGAACTCGTTCAATGTCAGCGACGGCGGCGAAGCAGCGTACGCAGCATGGGCCACAAGAAGCAGCAGCAGCAGCGACAGCAGCAGTGGCAGCGCCAACAACAATAGCCAAGAGCATAAGCCGTGAGAGGGCTCAGTGTGTTGCGCTCTTTCACGCTCTCCCTCAATTGCAGCGGCGATTGTGCTCTCCAAAATTATGTACGTACATATGTAGTTGTATTTTCGCCGCGTAGTTTTCGTTAATTGTTTCTGATCTACTTACGTAGATATGCATGTGTGTGCGTATGTATTTAAATATGGTTGGGTATGCATGTACGTACGCCTGAAGATGAATGACGTGCAGAATGTGCATACATACATATGTACATGTGTACCTACCTTCCAGGTATTCTCTAGGCCCAAATACTGAGTCATCTCTGTTGAAAGTTCCATTTCTAAAATTTGATTACATTCCTAACCTGCATCAATAATGACGTTGCACCCATACATATAAAGAGCCACAAACAAAAACACAAGACACACACACATACACTCACTCGCATTGATAATGCACTTGATAATCATTTTGAGCATAGACCAAAAGTTTTTGTGTGTTTGTGTTTTTGTGTTGTGTGGAGGGTAGACAGAAAATACATATGTATGTATGTATGTATGTATGCATGTAAAATGAATATATAAACAACACACAGATAGGCATACAAAAAGTTCTACAAACAAAAATACAAGACCAAATGCGTTTTCTCTGATTTCATGTTTAAACATGTAAGACAGTGCATTCAAAAACAAGTGAACTTGTTTAATTTCCGTTTAGATAGTTTAATTCAATTAAAAAAGTGCACCCATTGCATGCACGCGATTTGAAGCGAACTCATTTCCTTCTCATCTCTGCCATTTCACTTGATTTCCCCCTGCTTTGCAGTTGGAGTGCACTTTCTGCCTGCAATCAGAATTTTTCACTCGAATTGGAAAAAGTGCTGAAAAGCGGCAATAGGGCGAAGAGAGCGAATGCAGCCCAACGAGAGCGCGAGCTAACAGAGAAAGAGAAAGAGATGGAGCGAGGAGAGAGCGCACAGTTATGCTTGTATGCGTGTTGTGCTAGGACCCAAATAGAGCAGCACACACACACACACAGCCACGCACACATAGATAAATTTATATACAATACAGGCATACGTAATCAGAGGTTAATGCTCTGATATGCACTTGAACGACTGACTTCGGTCGCTCTGTGTGTGGGAGTGGAGTGGAAACCGTTGATATACATATACATATGCATGCGTGTAGTTGAATGAGAACAAGAATGTTCTGGAAATGCTGCAGTACTCGGTTCTCCAAAAAGTGTTTCTTTGCTTTTGTAAATAGTTGCATTAAATTTGTTGTTTATTAACAGTTTTTATCTGTTTTTTATTGCATTTATTTGGATTTTGTTCTACACACACAGGCATACATATATCCCTATGCATTTTGCCTACAAACCTGCGCGTATTTGGGTTACGCCTACATATAAAAAAATCGAAGAGTATTTAGCATAAATACCACAGTTATATTAGTCAATGCAAAAATTATAAATAAAATAAAGCGACTTGAAAAGAAAGAAACAAACAAATAAAATACGAGCATTGCTGCTGTTAAGTGTGGAGCAGAGCTCTTAACATTAACGGCAAGCGACATCTAGCGGGCTGTTAAGCTAAACAGCGCAAAAGTATGCAACAAAAACGGCAAGCAAACCGTTTTTGCTAACATTCAGCTTTTGAGAGCGAACTTTATGCAGCGCGCGCAATTTAAAATTGTGGTAAACTGTTAAATGATTTTGATTAAATTTATTAATATATATATATAAATTTATTAATATATATATATATATATTATAAATTTGCTTTTTAACAATAGCAAGAAGTTTTATAATGCAAATGCATATTGTGCTTTAGAGCTGTTATGTTGCCACAACAGCAACAAATTGCAAAGCACACTAAATGCTTGATTCCAAGGCTACGCTCGCACACACACACACACACACGCACACACACACACAGGTACTATATATGAACTCTATTATTAAATTAAATTTTCTAATGCACAGGCAATGACTAATTAGTGCTGCAATAAAAACAACAGCAGAATTATAATGTGCAAAATAAACTAAATTAATATCTGGGCAAACGCCCACCAGCAAAGGCAGCAGCAATAAAACGAGCAAC